TATATATCAGATTGTGCGTGCAGTACATGTGGTGTATTTTCTGATCTGTTTTGCATTTTATAAATAAAGTTCCACCGTGCATTGATCAGCAAATTGATCTCTAGACTGGTTTTCAAGGTGTGAACGCGAGTATTTATGAGGTGTAGGAATGTATGAATGCCAATGATCAGGGTAGCTTCAACTACATAGATGTTGAGAAAACAAATACTTGCATATAAAACTTGAATAAAATATGCATATTTATGCTTGTTATCAGATGGACAACAAATACAACTGAAGACACTCTAGCACATGCATTATCTTGGTTTTACGAGCCATATGCACATGAACAACCAAGTTTTCTTCTATCCTTTGATAGAATATTCATATAGCGTCTTTAAATCCTTTTGAGGAAATTTGAATTGTTACCATTCAGAGAGGTGTATAACATACATGAGTTGGATAATGTAGAGTGGTGGATCTAATAACAAAATGCTTGAACTAGCTTTTGGAGGAACTAAGGATGATGATCTTTGGCAGCTTGATACAAAAGTTTGAGAGAAGATTGAAGGGATGGAAAGAGCTACATTTTTCAGGAGAGAATTACTGTGATATAATCAACAATGCCAACCATTCCTATTCTCTTGCTGTCCATGTTCCCTATCCCTACTTAAATTAGCAAAAAGAAAGTTGTTCATTGGTTGGCAGTGAGACTCAAATATAAGACCTTTATCTGCTCTATTACCTTGTTGGATTGTGTATACCAGCTCATTTACAAGTTAAACTGTTAAAAATGGGGATTCAATTTTTATTTTGTGTCACAAGTTAAAGTCCCAGCATGTATAGATGGTTAGACTTCTGGCTGGCTGATGCACACTTGTATTTGTAAGAATAAAACTGCTGATTTATCCCCCAAAAAAAAAAATTCCTGCTTTTCGTGTATGTAAAAAGTCAGCGGAAGCAAACAGTGTAGACTTTTATCTTCCAGTATGGAGGGAGAGAAAAAGAACTAAACATAAATGTGAGAGTTTGATGTCAACATTAATCAACAATTTGCTGTTAATGTTGTCCTATTGTATGGCAATTCATCCAGGAAGGGTGTTATTTGCATTGCTGTATATGGTTTACCAATTTTGTTAGGTGGAAAATTTCTAACCATCTAATTGTCTTCTTTTTTAGGTTTGGGCCAAGGGAAAGTAAGAAGGCAATGATGTACAGTGATACAGGACGCTTAAATTGTAACATTAGTTACACAACTTTTGCCACCCCTGATCATGGACAGGTATATCAAGGATGGAACAGAGTTCCCCTTTTATCATTCTTTCTCCTTGTCATTGATGCTCTGTTATTAACTTCCATGTCTTTAACTGAAGTTTCACTTATGTTAGGGATCAGACAACACGGAGCTTTCCTCAATGCTACATAAAGCTTTAGAGGGTGCTATAATTCTGGAATCCTTCCCAAAGACTACTGTGGATGTTTTTGCTTTGGTATTGGAATCTGGTGGAAGTAAGTTTTGAATCCTAGCTTTATCTTTACCTTTGTGGTTTATTCGCAATCCTCTATAGTACAGGTATTTGACTTGAAACTGGGAGAAGATTATTCTTGAATATCTCAAGAAATGGAAAAAAGGATCTTGTATAATAAAAGATTAGAGGAATGAGCACGGAAAATTGTCAACTTTGTTTTTGTTCATTCATCAAAGAAGTACTTGTAGGGTTGCAAAGGGGTATAGCGTTTATCCTAATCAACTAGCTTGTTTCAGAATCAGTACTTCTTTCTTAATGAAGAATGGGTACCTTTTTCAGAATTAGTACCTTTTCTTAGGCCAAGAGGTTTGAGCAAGATCCTGAATTTACCGGTCTTATGATATGTGTCAATATTTAGGATAGATAAAAGAATTCAATTAGTTGAATTAGATTGTGATCTCAGTTTGCTATACTGTATATTTTGCCTTCTGGTAAGTATACTTGCATTTGGCTTCCAATTTTGTGCATTTTCCATAAATAGGTTATTGGTATTAGATTGGCGTTGTGAGATTACTTCTGAGTACTGATGACTTTTGAACTAACTTAATAAATGTTTTGCCATTATAAACTCTTTGTTTTGCTTGCAGGTGATCTCCCTGTGGTCATATCATGTGCTAGTCTAGCTTTAGCAGATGCAGGAATTTTGCTGTATGACTTGGTTGCCTCAGTTTCTGTGGTATGTATCAGACTATTGCTTGTTAATTCTTTATTTTCTGAGTTTACTTAGGAGGAATAGAAGCCCAGACAGTTGCTGTTGTTTTCATTTAATTGCAGTAGAAACTCCACTTCTGATATGATTAAAAAAAATACATTACCTCGCCTTAAGCTACAAGCTCATCCTTACTTGGTATGCTCCCAAAAAGATTTTGACTAATCCTTTGAAATATGTATTTGTGCAGCCTTAGGAAACTTGTTGTTGAGGAATAGTTCAAAGTGTGAAAGTTTTGGTGTATACCATATTGTGTGAATTTGATAACTCTTTCAGATGTGTTTCCTTTTAACTGGCCCTGAGCATATAGAGGAGATTGGCAGTGCATTCAAAGAAAACATGAGAAATAATCAGTTACCTGCCCAATAACTCTGTTTTGAGCTCTTCTGGTCCTTAAACTTCTACTGATATGGTGACAGGTTCTGACCAGGTTGGGGCTGATGACTAGTGTTGTGCTTCCATAACACATTCATCAGTAGAAACTGAGCATGTAGTTGTATTAGAAGCTCAGCATATGCATTTTTCATCTGTCCAAGTGTGTTTTCACTCAAATGTAATCTATTGCAGTTAGGGGTGGTAAACTGAATTGCAAGGAGAGCATGATCCAAACACACTTGTTTTTGAACCGATTCCTGCTTTTTTTAGTAGTTGGTTGAATCAGAGTAAATGCGCACTTAAACAATGTCTAGGCAACTGCCACACTATGGCGATTGAAGTACTTCAGTTATATAATCATCTTTTGGGCTGACAGCTCAAAATGCATCCTCTGAAGTGTCTGCAAAATTTCATTATCTATACAAGAGTTTCCTATGTTAAAGGGTGAAGAGAATGAAAGAGATGGAAGAACTTGTGAGTCAGGATTTGGATAAAGATGAACACAGCTTTCTAAAGTAGTGTAGTACCAGCAACTGGGAAAGTGAATGCACCTTCTAAGAAATGCCGTAGCAGTTTCACTTCCAGAATATGAGTCAACTTAGATCCAGCTGTTAGCTTTTCCTGTATCCCATTGGAAATGCACTCTTAACTCGTGTCTTTGCCTCGTGACCATAAGTCGGCAATAATGGCAATGATTTCATGTTGTTCTTAGTCGAAGTTTACCTAGAAGTATAAGTATATTTGTATAGGAATTTGGTAATAAGTGTCGGTCAGCTAATCATCATCGAGGCTAGAAGAAACATTGTTATCGGCAGGTCAAGCTAGTTTTAAAGCACTTGAATAATTGGTTATTGAAGCCTGAATTAGACTCGGTTATGGTTCACTAATGGAACTAAGGTTTAGAAGCCTTTATGGATGTGTACTCTTAAGGCATAATATCATGCCATCTTTATTACAATTAGCATGGCAACTTTCAAATGTTGGGACATGTAATCATATGATACCATAGGCTTTTCCAGATTCTCAAATATTCAGGGTCTCCACTGAATTTTCAGACATCTAATTCACTGTTTTTTCTGGTATTCTAGTCTTGTCTTGGAAAGAACCTCGTCATTGATCCCGTTTCTGAGGAAGAAAGCTACCAAGATGGAAGCTTAATGATTACTTGTATGCCTTCACGTAATGAGGTCACTCAACTGTTTATAACTGGAGAATGGTCAACACCAAAGACTAATGAGGTATGCTATTTGCTGGGCAGTTTCATCTAGATTACTAAATTACGTCCTGCTATGTCTCTCGTTTTGTTTAATATTTTCATATACAGACTAGAGATTGCACTTCACATTTGTCTCTTAGCTATCTGTTCTCCTTCTTAACTGTAAATTTCCCAGCGAGCTACTTAAACTATTTTCAAAAGGTTCACCGGTATGATCCTGACACATTTTTGGAGCTAGGCATAACTATTATTTTGATCTTTTAAATGCAGGCAATGGAGCTATGCCTTGGTGCTTGTTCCAAACTGTGTGAGGTTATGAGATCATGTTTGAAAGATGCTGTTACTGATTCAAAAGAATAGACCATGGTACGTGTGTAGGTCAAAATTACAGAATTAGATATTAGTTTGCTCCTATCAGGCCGGTAAATTTGCAATTCCCGATTAAAGTTTTCCACACTGCCTGATTTTTCCCTGTGAATTCTGTCAGTCAAAGGTTTTGGTTCGCTAATTAGGTTCTCTGTTAGAATGTTTGATGGCAATGAAGCATTGTTTAGATATATTGGCAAGAATATTGAAATGAAGCATTTGTTTAAATATTTAGTCAAGGTCCAGTATAGCAGTAGTACTTACTGAAAAACAAAGCAGATGTCACACTAATTGCCACAGTATCACCAGAAATACCAAACAGATAGTTATTGTTGTTACGGTCACATTGCCTTGTAATATTGCTGGAATTGAACCAGGCATTTCTTTGTGGATCCTTTACTCTCTGGCAGTCAAAATATCCATAGTCACAAGACGACTTCTCAAGACTGCACGCATATTTCCAGCACGCTTCTTGCCTCTCAATTGATAGAAGATACCAGCAAGCTTCCAGTACCTTCATTTGCAAAAGCAAAATGGCTGCTTATATGTTAATTTATTTTTGGAGGGAGGATTTCAGTTTCATAAACAAACCAATTTTCATAAGACATGAAAGGTTGTGACGCCTATGATGCGAGGACAGCTGGTGAGGGCGGGTCAAGGTGAATGACTGGTAAGACTTATAGGCTGGGAAGTTTTTGAAAATGGGGTGCATATAATACCATAGGCAAATCCCATGTTGGAAAGGGAGGAGAAAGTGAAATACTATATAAGACAAAGCACAATTTCATATGGTGTGCATACTTTCGGCTTGATGTGGCATAGCCAAAAAATTGTGAGGTTTGTTGGCCAAAACAGACAATATGTACCATGGTCTTGGACTGTGAGAAAGATAAATATCAAGTGAACAGAAGCTCAGAATTCACTTACATGGCTTGCTAACATGTAGAGCATCAGGTTGTAAGTAGCTCCAGCTCCAGCCCATGCTGTTTCTGTCACAACACCATTTGATCATTTGTGATGACAATGGAAAAAATGATACTGAATCGCCCCTTAAATTAGGGATAACAGCCCAAATTAATGCCTGAAAACATGACAAAGCAATAGATTACTTTCAAACCTGTTCGATTTCATTCTACCAAGGATAATAACAAGTACACATGTTTCTAGTGGCTAAATTGTGGTAAAGGCAGAGCTGCAGTGATATCAATAAAGGAACCGTTTCTCAAGTATATCTTAGTGCTACCTTTGAAGTAACAAGCTCTCCTCTCCCAAATACTCGAGAAGATTGAGCAACATAAGCAGTTCTAAATCGAAAAAGATATCAGCTATTGTTCCATCTATGAATTATAGGTCCTCGGGGATTTTCTACACCTGTTATCCTTCTTATCACTCTTTCTACTGGCTGGCTCTGGTTGTCGTATTCCAACAATCTTATACTTCACCTTAATCACATTATCTCCATTAGTTGTTGGCTTGTTGCATACTTTGTTGCTTCAAGATCGTGTTGAAATCTCAAGTTACGTGAGAACGGAAATTTAGTAAAATAACTTATGACCATGTCATATATAGTTTGATCAATTTGCTGGTACGAAATGAACATAAGAGCTAGCTAGACATGTTTTTGGTGTACGATGGAAAATATTTTATCAGAAATTTTTTCCAGAAAATAAGACATTAAGTCATTTTCTGGTGTTTATTGAAGAAAATATTTTTAGGAACAACATTTTCTACCAACAGAGGAAAAATGACTTCCTTCACTTTTTGAACGGAAGTCAATTTTCGTCACAATTTTCTCAACTCTGTACTTCATATGTGCTTTAACCAATAATAGACATTATTTTCAATCTTTAATACTAAAATATTTCATCAAAACACTATCTGGGTTTGTTAATATTATTATAAATCCTCTATAAATGTTTTTTTCTAAAAAACATTATGCACTCTCCAACCGCACACCAGAAAACGTTTTCCAAGAAAATATTTTCTTCAATCATGTCAAACCATAGATATTAAGTTTCATACGAAATAAAATGATGAACGAACTCAAAGGAGTCTGACCTGGAATTACCATAAGCCATGACACAGATTAAAAAACAATCTCATGTAGGCTTCAGATACTATAGTTTATCATCTGTAGAACATAGGAAAAGATTAGTCTGTCACTATCACGAAATAATCACTTGAAAATGAATTGTAAGCCACCAAGAAAAAAAGAAAGAAAGAGAACTAGCTTGTTTTCTTTTAGCAGATATGATCACGCCTAACTTCGCCTTATAAAAAGGACTAAGCGGTCGTCGCAAATATATTCCGGTTAATAAGTCCGGAGTCGAATCCCACAGGGAATTAACCTATTAAACATAACTACTAGACTCGCACAAATTCACGTAATCAATATTTAAAAATATTAAAATAACAAATTGGATGTTTACTAACTAAATATCACGTAATGAAAATGCAGTAATTAAGAACTAACTACGAATAGGTTGTAGACAAGAATTGGAATGATCTAAGGTTGTGATTTCCCCTATTGTCCGAATCCTTTCCTCTACGTTTCCTATAAATTTGCCTAAGTTTTCTCTACCGATCATGAGCGCTCTGAGTGTTGTAATTCTCTCTCGAGTAACTACCACAATTTACTAGACATATTCTTGCGAATTACGCTAGTTGGCACTAAGTACGGCTCACTCGGATCGCACCAAGGTTTCGTTATTCCTAATCACACCTTTAAACCCTCCGTATTGATCCCTCATATACGTTAGGAGTGATGTTGTTTAACAACTACCTAAATATGTACTCTCTTCCGAGTAATACACACTAAATAGGCACAGTCGATTGAGAGCTCTTCAACCAACCACAATAATAACATAGTTGAACAAATAGAGAAAATACTACGGTAAATCTATATTAACATAACAGGAAAATTGTCATCCAATAAGTTCCATCAAAACCCTAGATTAGGAGTTTAGTTACTCATACTCATAGTAACAATATCCAAAATATTTTGCATAACTAAATTATAAAGTAAAGATGAAAGGATGTAGAAATCGATGATTCTATCTCCCAACTGGTATTTCACGAGCTATTCTTGCCTCCTGTCCAACAACCCATTCAAAAGTAGTGTTTAATGTCTATTTATATATGTAAGAAAAGACCTAAACGACATAGCCCAAGTCCTAGTCAAACAAGGAGACGAAATAAGCCTTCAAAATCCGGATCAGGCTCGCCTCAGACCGTGCCTCGCGAAGTAAAACGCGAGATGAATCTCGCCCCAGACCATGCGACGCCTGCCTCCACGCGAGCTCACCCTCGCCTTATCCCTCGCGAGCTCAAAGGCTCGCCTCGCCAGCTCTAATGCGAGCTCAATAGTTCGCTTCACCAGCTTCCTCATTTTTCCGTTGCTCACTTCTTTTTTTCTTCTTTTCAATTATTTTCGAGCACGTTTTAGAATTTAAATATTCCTTTTGCTCTGCTTTCATCTCCAATGTACCTACACATAAAATAGACTCCATTACGCGCAAATAAAGTGTAGTTTAACATTAAAGCAAATAAAATGTAAGGTAGATAATGTACTAAAATATGAAATTATAGCCACACATCAATACCCCATACTTAAACATTGCTTGTCCTCGAGAAATCAAACTACACTTATAGACACGACCTTTTTAAGAAATTCCCTTAACTCATCACACCGAGAATCTTTAAAGTGGACTAGGCACAAGGTGTAACATTCCCATCTCAAGATTTGACTCACAAATACCATGCCTTATTCAAAATTTACTTACTTACTATAACATGGAGGTCAATGACATTATCTTTCCGTTATGAATCACGTGCCCTCACCCAACACGAGCTTAGTTCCACACACAATGAATTTTAAGAACGTAGGAACTCAAGATAGGAAAACTTCACTCGCTCTCAGAAATAACATTCATATGCCACAAATGATGCACCATAGGCTTGCCCGTAGTGTAATACTTTAATTTGTTGTAATGTAGGCTGCGGGTCGGGAAGGATACGTTTGGATATGAGTGACTACACCTCCCTTAAGCACTTTAATACATATACTTTAATACCACAACCCATACTTATGTCAAACCAAAATTCCACCTTCACATCTAAGTATAGTACCCCATACTTCTTTAAGCACAAGCATATCACTAGCCACCACCATCAAGAATTATTTTTCATACAATACAACTATATATATATTTCTTTTCTTCAAGTGGTGTTTATTGACATTTTGTTTTTCAAACGGTGCACCTTTCTCCTTTTCATTTGTTCCACTCAAAATTCAAACCACCACCCCACACTTTAACTTTTACATAATTCATCACAATTCAAGTGCTTATGAGAGGTGACAGGGTTCAAATATATAGTCGATTCAAACAAAGGGCTAAGGCTTGTAATGTGGTTACCAAAGAAGCAAGACTATAGGCTCACAGAGGTTAACTACGTTACATACATTTAGGCGCTAAACTATATATATTTGGCTCAACGAAGAAACGCCTATATCACTTTGCAGACTGAACAAGACTACTATTTCGCTTTGCACACACGGGGCAAGTTCTAGACATCAAATGCAATGCACATAATACATACAAACCTCATACAGACATGGCACATAACTCATTCAAGATTGGTTTTATCACGACATTTCAGTCAAAGCAGTTAAGCACATTTAAGAATCTATGATTTAAGGTACTTATACTAGAGTCAAAAACTGAGCCTAAGCATCACAACTAGAGTACTCACTATTCTCAAGGCATAACAAAGTTAAAAGATATAGCTGCAATTCAATTCCTAGCCCAGTGGTTTCTACTCCTACAAATTAAAACTAACTACACCCGGTTCAACTAAAAACCCTTGAAAAAGAACCGCGACTCAAAAAAAAACCAAGGGAGAATTACTACACTATCTACAAGAAAATCTTTTTGTTTTTTTTTCTTTAGACTTAATTCCCTAAAGAAAAATGTCTAGGAGATCCATCGTCAGGAAGAGTCCAATTTGTTTTTTAAAAGGCTAAGACGACCTAACTAAAAAAAAACAACACCCTAACTAAAAAACTAAATATAACTAAAAACAAGACTAATATTTACAAGTTACCACCCCCACACTTATTTCATGCAATGTCCTCACTGCATACACAAATTGACAAAACAAGAAAAAAATGAATAGGGTGTAGGAAAACTCCCTGATCAAGCTGCGTCATCGCCTTCCTCCTCTAAGGCTACCCACTCCTTATCTTGTGCTTCCTCCTCCTCCTCCTCCTCCTCATCATCATCTGACTGCTCCGGCTCGGCCTCGGACTGCTCAAGTGTGTTGACATCCTTATCATCTGGGAGTCTGTATCCATCACCAAGCCCAACTAGCTGTTGAGCATGAGCATTGAGCGGGAACCGCTCACCTAATATGGCCCTCTCCTCTGTAGAGGTTGTCTGTCCCGCAATCCGAAGCTGCAAATCCATCATCCCATATAAATGGGCCATAAAACTATCATCACGAGCATTGCGCTCGACACCTGTCAACGATGCCATAACAGTCTCCTCCTTAACCCGGATACTTGTAATGTCTATTAGTCTTATGGTCTGATCAACGATGTGATCGAAAGCTGGTTCCTCTTCAACCTCTTGTCTTAAGAACTGATTTAACATATTTGCAAATGGCATTCGATCGGTCCTCTTGCTAGTTCTCACTAGAGATATCTGGTAGCGGATTAAATGACCCACATTCACCCTCTGACCAGTCATGAGGAAATATAGCATACACGTCCTCTCACGGATAATAAGCGTTTTATGATTGCAAGGTAGGTGCCGTGTATTAATCAGTTTCATCCATACTTGAGCCTCTGCCCTCATCTTCTTCTTGGGGAATTTCCTGTGTCGATTTGTTTTCTTATCTCGAACCCAAGCTGCTACAGAATTGACACCACAAATAGTGTGTCTCAGATCTCGATATGTAGGACGGGCTATGAAGTAGTCCAATGGATCCTGAGGAACATCCAGAGCACCTAAGAAATTACATATTGTCGTGGCTGAAAACTCTATCAACCATCCACGAATCGGCACCGGCTGTTCAGGATCCTTTGGATCAAACCCGACATAGAATTCCGAAACCAGATTGAGGTTTATATCCCCTATATTTCGGAACACATAACTCAACCCCAACTCATTAATGCCTCTCCAAATTACTTGGTACTTGGCTTGCAAGCGACGCTCATGAATAATAGCTTCTGGATGTACATGTTTTGGCCTACATCGCCTGTACCAATCCTTAGTGTGTGGGGGTATGCTTTTGAGTCCAAACTCCCTATGTCCTTGAGGTTGTGGACGAGTGGTTGCTATAGCTGCCACTACTTGCAGTCCTTCACCTCGACTGGAAGTAGCTTCCCC